ACTGAGGAAGGGATTTGTAAGTCAAGTTTGGGTTTTTAAGAAACTCCACTCTTTGTAAAAATTGTTTTGCTACTTCATAGACCTTTGTGAAATTATGAAGAAGTTTATAATAAGGAGTAGTGAATTAAGTGCAAGTATTTATAAAAGATTTTGTTGATAACTTGGTATTAGTTTTCAATTTGCATAGGTTGAGTGAGTCTTCTTTGAAGAGATAATCACCAATTAAACTATACAGTTAGAATATGCATTCTCAAGCTTGTATTATTAATTAATTAGTACTCCTTCTATTCCTTATTCCTATTTGGAATCTTTTATGTGAACTAAGGAAAGGGATGTTACTCAATTAAGCATAAAATGAAATACATATTTTCTTGAGCTAGCTCTTTTATATATTGTTCGCTTTTTTTTTCTATATATAATCATTACTCACACCCTTTGCCTGATTCTACAAAGAGACGTTACAATTTTAAACTCAATCTTTAGCTTGTTAATGTTATTGGCCAATCATATATATTAAAGAATATACTTATTCAACCAATGGGATTAGATCACACAGATTACTCCAACAAATACGAATAAAAAAAAAATCTAAAAACCAAAACTTCTTAAAATTTTCAAGGTTGGAGGAGAGAGAAAAGGTATTTGAAGATTTTCGAATATAAACACCAACATATAGAAAGATAATTGTCACTTTATATTCATACGATAAATTTTCAAAATTTTTGAAATTTAGATAAAGAAAATGTGTTCAAAGGGAACAAACCCAACCAAAGATTTTTTAGGCCAAATTTAGCAAAATTACTGTGTTAATCCTTTGACTCGATCTTCAAAAATTTGAAGCGAGAGTAATGCGAGAGCAATTGTCCAATATGGGTTTTCCTGAAGACTCTTATAATCTTCAATTGTTGGTGTTGTAAGGAATTTTTTTGTTTTTCTTGCAAATCTTGAAGATTCATGGAATTTTTGAGAAGCGACACTATCCTTAAGTTAATTATCATTAATTATTAAGTTTTTTTGCCTATGAGTTTTTACCTTTCAGTTAAAAGGTTTTTCCTACATTTAGGTTTTAAGATAGGGTTATTAGTTGGTTACAAATATGTTTAAGAGATAATTAAGATTAGGGTTCTTAGTTTTCTATCTTATCTTAGGATTATGATTATAGTTTTCAGTCTATCTTATCTTAGTATATATATGGTTGCATATTGTAGACACCCATTTGTGTCTCCCCAAACCAAACCCAGTGATGAATACCTTTCGCGTCAAATCATAATCGAATGAAGCGAAAGTGTGAAAAGTCTAGTGATGCGGTTAGTTTTTCTTAAATTTTTTTTTTCCGTTTTCGAAAACCAACTCTATTTTATGAAAATAGCCAATCCAGTTTAGTTTGATCCATGATAAGGGTCCAATACTAGTGTAGTTGGATAGGTCTCAAAAAGAGCTTTCCAACAATAGATTATAAGCCCAATTCCGATGAATAATGAGGAAGTTATGACCAAAATACTAAATTGGGCCCGGTTTGATCCTTACATACGGCCCAATGATCTAGGGGAGGGCCTATTATTATTCCTAAAGCTACTAAGATTGATTATAGTCTTCCAGAATCATCTAGAAGGATTAGGGTTGATAATTATGTATACGAGTTTTACTTGGAATAAAATAACGTTTTATATGAAAATACGATTTTAGTCTTCGTATGGACTTTACGACTCAATTTTATTGATAAGGGGACTCCGTACTTAAAGCCGTTGAAAATCACTTTCGTCGCTAGACGACAGTTTTGTCGCCTCGCGACAAAGTCAGTCGCCTCTCGACAAAACCTGTCGCCTTGCGGCGATTTTGTCGCTTGGCGAAAAGCTTGTTGTTGGCGACGAAGTGGAGTTTTATTCCTCTTCAAATTATGACTATTTTCTATCGGATTCTGGACTATTTTCCTATAAATAGGGTCCTAGACCTCTGTTTTCGATCAACTCTCATCAAGAATTTCTTGATTCTCTCTCTCTCTCTCTCTTTCTAAACCAACCATTTTGCAAACACAATTCCGCATTCACAAGATCTAGAAACACCTAGCCAAGTTCAAAGTTGCCTCCGCCCTAGACGTGAAAGGTTGATACCTTCTGAGGGTTTGGTTCCAAATCTAGTCTAAACTTTTTAACTCTTTATTTCAATTATTTAATTTAATTGTTTGATTTATTATTTCATTGAAGTTTACTAACTTGTCTATTTTGTTATTAGAAAGTGGCACGAGGCATCAAAGTATGTAATCTTATTGCTCTATTCTTGTAGAAATCATGTTTATTATTTTTTAATTCCTAGTATCATGTTAAATGTTATTAAATGCTTTCTAGTATTATGTTTAGGGTGCCTTTTATTCTTTCCAATATCATGTTAGTATCACGTTAGGTTTAAAGTTTTGATCTTTATTGTTTAGTGACATGCTAAGATTTGTTATTAATCATGTTAGTATCATGCCTAGGGTCTTGCTATTATTATCAAGCTTTATTATGCATTATTATGATTATGATTATATTATGATGATGAAGATGATTATTATGATTAATATGGGTCTTGCTATTATTATCAAGTTTTATTATGCAGTATTATGATTATATTATGATGATGAAGATGATTATTATGATTAATATTATGTTGCTTGATATATATTAATGTTATTGCTTGATCACGCCTTGTATGCATGTTTAAAGGGAATTTGTATTTGTAATCACGCCTAATAAGATAATTAATAATTTGGTTTAGGCTAATATGATTTTAATTCAAGTGTTCGCCAATAATAGATTTATTTGTGCATTAATATTCAACCAATATAGATTAAACAGGTTTAGGGTTAACCTAATGATTGTATGTTAGTCAGAAAGCGCACATGAATACGAGTAGAATAAAGTAGAGGCCTATTTTATAGGGTGGGTTCTTTCTCTTTTAGATTGGATTTGTACCCTCATCCCCGAATCCTGATTGGTTCTAAACCTATTGGAGTTGACGATCTCATGAATCGTTAAGGGGTGTAACCTTAACCGAAAAACTCCACCCTCCCAGCCCGCAACCACCACCACCCTCAACCGGCGACCTACCTTATCCCGATGAGCCACCCAACCCCAACCCAAACCCTATCCCAAGAACCAAAACCCACTTCCATCCCCTATGCAACCACCAAGGAAACCCAACCCCAACTCCCAAAAACTCGATACTGCCCTTCCCTCATCCCGAAACCCTAGCGGCTAGGGTTTTCGATGGTCAAGGAGGGGTGTTTGGAGGTTTTCGATGGTGAGGGAGGTAATTTAAAGGGAGTTTCGATGTGGAGGGAGTGGAGTGTTGGAGGTGGGTTTAGGGAGTTTCGATTGTTGGGAAGTGTCGAAGAAGGAGATGTGGGCCGTGGGGGTGGGTCGCAGCACCGGTGCAGGGGGAGGGGGGAAACCGACACAGGGGGGATAGTAGTGAGAGTGGCCAGCCCACGTCATGGATTGGGTGGAAAATCGACGGTTGGGGGTGTTTGGCTGGGTTTTTTATTATTATTATTTTTATGTTTTGGACATATAGAGTGTTGATACGTGGAAAATGACATGCTATTATAGCTTCGATAACCGATAACTCCTGATAAAAGTCAGTACCCCCAAAGTTGGGATTATATAGTTTGCAAATGACCCTTTTTTACATTAATACAACCAATTATTCCTTTTATAATTTAAGGATTTAATCAATTTTGAAGTCACACTTTTACTGTTTACATTAAATACCCTTACCTATTTACATAATAAAAAAACATAAGGAGGAAAATATTATGAAATACTTTTTGTAAGAATCTGCATATTTTTCGTTCAAATTCAATAGTAATAATTTGACTTTTACACACATGCCAAACACAAACATATAACCATTTTTGATAAAATTCCAATTTCAAATTAAAACAATTAAATTAGATAATATGAAAACATAAAATTAAATTAATTCAACAATATTGTATTTAATAAATGTTGTTTTCAATACTTATTTCGTTTCACATTAGTTGATATATTTCATTTTGGCGGGTTTGTCAATGAATAACTTCAAATAATATCTTCAATTATGTACATCAAATATTTATATAAAAAAAACTTGATATTTGAACAATAGAAGTAGAGACAAATTAAACAAGACTTTACTACACTAGTTTTATTTTTATTAACTATTCAAAAAAAAGTTTTATTTTTATTAAGAATTAATCATAAAATAAAGTCAAAATAATTTAAGTGAATAATGATGAAAGCCAAAACATGTCAACTAAAATGGAATATAGATAGTATTGGAGACAAAAGCATATGCTCAAAAGCTGTGTATGCGAATAATGAAAAAGTCATAATATCACAGATGTTTTGTAACAGAGGAAGCATTTATTTATTATTTTAATATATAGTATGCTTGGATCAATGTATTTACCTTTTAGAAAAATTTATGAGTAAGATAAGATACCTAATGGGCAAATTGGGATAACAAGCATTATCCCTTTGACAAAAATTAAATAGAGAAGAGTAGAAAGGATTTTAAGAAATGAACGAATGCAAAGCAAGTATGTAGATAACAATGGAAAAACTAAGATCTCAAAAACTCTATAGGCCTTATAGATAACGGAAGTATATAATTTCTTAAACATGGGAACAAAAGATTCAATTTAATTAATTACTTGTAACTAACCATTTTTTATATAATTTAAAAACCATTTAATTTTATTTAAAAAATTCATCATTTGTATTACATTAAAAATGATACCCTCAATTCCACCTTCATTTTTTTATTTAGATAACATATTTCATTTTTATAAATAATGTATCTATAGACCTTACAAAACATGCAAAACTAAATACTGTTCTTATGAACAGTGAACTCTGGTGCTATTACAAAGACACCCCTATATTTAATGAATTGCCGAAATTGCCCTTTCTTAGCCAAGTGCATTATGTGTGACAGCTGTAATTGAAAGTGGCCCCCTTGCTTCATTATCACCGACTTTCCTCTCTCTGATTTCATCTTAGAAGGAAAGGTCAGAGCATTTCTTTAGGGGAAACAAGGAGAGAGAAAGCTAGAGAGGGAAAACTTCAGCAACTCGCTCAAGACCACCGATCATCCCTTTCGATGGTGCTTCGAATTCTTCGTGGCTGAGATTGTGGAAGATGATTTTCAGATCGTCACATTCATCAGGTTCGAACTCTTTCCTCTTTCTCGATTTAGTTTCAGATTTTTAGGCTTTACTTGCTCGATTGTCGTGGATTTTTTGCACATATGTCCTGTTGATTTGGATATGTTTTCTAATTTTTTGGGTTAAATCTTTGTGGGTGTATTTGTGTGAAATTATTTCGTTTTTCATGGGGTTGAATCCTTTTTTGTGCTATTTTTTTTGGGTAATTTTTCTTAATTAATAATCTGAATTTCGATTGATACATTTTTTTTTTTTGTAATTCTTCTTAATTAATCTGAATTTCGATTGAAAAATCGAAGATAATTCTTCTTAATTAATTTTCTGAATTTCGATTGAAAAATCAAACTATTTTTCTTGATGAAGGAGTGGTGATTTCGGCGTTTTGATTTTGACCTGAGAAAGGAAAAAAAAAAAAGGGAGAGAACTGGCTTAATTTATATATGCCGATGAAAGGAAAACTGCTGCGGAAGTCTGAAGATACTTTGAATGCTTACAAAGCTGCTCAGGTTTGTGTGTTTTCTTTAATTTTTTTGTTTTTTTTTTTGTTTTTTTTTTTGTTATTTTTTGTTTTGTTTTGTTTTTTTTTTTTCTTCTGGTTTTTAGGGTTTAGATGTTCACTTTTGCGCAGATCTATCTGAAAAAAGATTTAATTCGATTTTATTTGTTATTTTGAATTTATTATCTGATTTTGCTGCTCTATATACTGAGATATGGAAAAATAGCTGAGATTCGAGCTAACAATCGCTAAACAAGTGCTTAATTCTGTTTGTTAAGTTACTGAACATAGTATATTGGTCGAATGACTGTGATTTGATACTTGAAAATATGCATATATTAGATGTAGTTTGTATAATTAAGAAAATTCATGCAGTTTTATAGGAGTATTTAATTTTATGTATAGTTGTTCTACCCAAAGTGCACCTCGACTGATCTCTTCTTGGATAAAACCTCCTGCAAGGCTCACCAAAATAAATGCTGATGCACACATCACGGCTCAATATGTGGGTCTTGGTGCGGTTGCTCGAGATGAACATGGGGAGCTGCTGTGGGCTGCTGTTCGAAGGGTGCCTGCGGGATTAGAGGTGGAGGCAGCAGAAGCTGAAGCGGTGCGTTTTGGAATGCAAATTGCACATAGGTTGGGCATCTTGAACATCTGGATTGAGACTCTGCTAAGGTATTTCAGAGATTGATAACAACTTCACAAGCTATTCTCCAATTTGCATAATTTATGATGATATTAGGGGTATGTCAAGTATGTTTAATGTTTTTATTTTGTCACATGTGAAAAGGGTAGGCAACTCGGTAGCCCATCTTGTAGCTCAGTGGGAGACTCGTAATGTTTCAAAACTTGTTTGTATGAGTTCGTTTCCCCAAAGCATTATCTCTTTGGCGGAATTTGTTTTGTAATAATATATGCCTAACCTTTCCTAAAAATAAATAAATAAATAAATAAAATCCAACCATTTCAAGCTTATAAAAGAGAAACAAATTTAGCTAAAGCTTCATTACCTTTTAATAATAGCAATTAACAAACTGGAATTTCTCATTTATATTCTACACTTTTTATCTTCATTTCCCTCTTATTCTTACTTCTTTTAATACAATTTCTTTGAATTTTCTCAATTTTCTTGCAGAACAAACTTGTTCTTCATCATATTATTCTGGGTTTTAGCTTTTTCTGGAAAATTTCTCACCGGAAAGGTATAATTCTGCTCTATTTTACTTTGATATTCTAGAGTTTGATTTGTTGCTTCTTTTTTTTTTGGATGGGTGTTTGTTTTCGTGCAAATTTATGCATGGGTTCTTTCATTTAATTGTTTTTGTTTTCTCTTTACTAATTATTTCATATTCTTAGTAATTTTGTCAATTTTTTTATGTCATTTGATGAATATGATGCTCTTACGTAGAATGGGTACTTAGATTTGTTACTTATTTACTTTGTAAGTTGGAAAAGTTACCCACAATTAGGGAATGATAAAAAGAACAAGGCTACATTTAATCGTCTGTTGTTAAATTATGGCCAATTTTAAGTTTCATCAAAGTTTTGTAAAAGATTGATAGAATTTTCTTTACATTTTTGAAAATGGCAACTTCGAGGAACAAAACATGTTTTTCTTGCTATTTTAATAAAAAAAAATCTGAATTACAGCCTAAACCAATTACCGTCATTTAAACTCTAAAAATGACAAAACCAGCCACGCTAGATCAGCTGCCCGAATTAGGTTATATTTGCACCATTATTGTTAAAATCGGTTTGAAATTTATTTATTTTGTGTTCTTTTGTATGAGTGATGTATGAGTAGTTGTTTCAAGAAGATTGGTTGTGCTTTATTGTTTCTTCCTTTAAGGTTGTGTTCATTTCCCTTTTTTCGTTGTATTTCTTGTACCTTGATTATGAGCGGTGCTTTAATTTCTATATATGCAGAAATGGAGGGTGAAAAATAATTTCGAGATTATGGGGTGTTTTGATTCAATTTGGTAAAAAATTGGGATTATATGCCCTTGCATTTTAAAGTTAGAGTCTTATTTATTTTTTTATTTATTTATCTATTTGATTAAGATCTTTCCGTATCTAATTGATTATTTTCTTAATGAAGTCTGCTAGAGGTTTTCATTACTTGGGGACTATCGATTTTGCTGCTATATGGTCAAGATGCAAGTGAATCAGTTTCAGGTAAAGTCTGCAACTTTAAATCAGTGCATGGCAGAGGTGATTGAAGTTAGTTATGTTAAATGTAGCATGCTCTTAAAAAGACAAATCAAGTTCGTAACATTCTAACATGTAGTTGCAATCTATATAGTGTTTTAATTCGTTTTACTTGCAGTGGTTTGTGTTCAATAAAATACGAGATCATAAGCCTTATATGCTCTATGCCTTGAATCTTCCCAATTTGTCTTATGACAGGGGATAAAACGAAGGATGTGGCTCCAAACCATGCTGCTTCTTCAGGGAAAGGTCCTATCCTTGATGTGGTAATCCTTCTTAACTCGCAACTATACTTGCTATGATGTGTGCTACTTGGTTCTACAGGAACAACTTCATCTTTGAAAACATAATATTGAACATAGTGTATACAACTATGGGATTTGTAAAATGTATGGCTGTTATACACACAAAATATTCGTTAGAACTGCAGCTCATGACTACCCTTCTGCATCAAGTTGGATTTCCCCCTCCCCCCCTCCTCTCTGAAGGTATTATCATGTTGAATGTCGACGCTAATTTGATCTCTAGGTCACATGTTGGGTTGGGGATCGCTGTAAAAAACGAGCTTGCAATTGGGCAGTGTTTGCTTACTTTAGTTAAGAGGTATGAAGGGCTGTGGGAAGTAGAACAAACAACACACTTTTCCTTAAACCACTTTTAATGGTTTTCTCTTATATATCAACTTTAACTTTATAAAGTTTGCCTCTGAATTATTTTTTCAACAGATTTGGTTTCATGTTTTAATTTAGGGAAAATATGGAACACAGCTAACCTACTTCTGTACTGAAAACCACTAAGGTATTTACTTTGTATAGATAAATCTGGGAGAGAGTTTTGCTTGTTAGATGTCTCTGTAATAGTCACACTGTAAACACTCGTATTTTTTTCATCCTTGTTAGAGAATTCAAAAGGTAATCTTAGGGTCTTTGTGTGCAAATGTGAGGAACTTTTCCAAGGTCTTTTTTTCCCTTCGTGTTATGGTAGTGTGTGGGATTGCTGTGTGGTGCTTGTGAGTTAGTTGTTGTGGTGTGATTGTTCTTGTGTTCTTCTTGAGTATCATTGTTCTGTGCTTGTTGCTACTGCAAGGGTTGTTTGTTTTGTTTGGGGCTGTTGTGCTTCCTTTCTAAATTGAGTACTTGTGTGTGTGTGTGATTTTGATTTATGGATAGCTAATTCAATGGCTCTTACTTAGAAACTTGCTACTAAGGTATCTCTTCATTTCCATGGTTTCCTTTATTTAGTTCATTTTAAAATTGCGAATTTCTCAATTCAATTTGATAAGAAATTGGGGGCTTTTGATTTAATTGAGTTCGTTTAAAATTGAGGGGTTTTCTCGAATCAATTCAATCGTTTTAAAATTGTAGTTTTCCAGTTTAAATCAATTAATTCATTATTTTGGGGTAGTTTCGATGCAATTTGGTAAAAAATATAGGGATTTGATTTCTCTGCATTCTAAAGTTAGGGCTTTATTTATCTATTTATTTATTTGATTAAGATTGTTAAATGTCTAATTGATTATTTTCTTAATGAAGGTTGTTAGAAAATTAGCGCTGACTAGCGGAGAGTCAAGAACCCTCGCACTACCATCTTGAAATTGTTGCTCTTCGGTAAATTGTCATGTAATAAAAGACGACTCCAATAATTGTTTATTAAAAGATTTAATGATTTCAAAATTGAGCTAATTGTTTTAAATTATCTTCAATGATTACACCTTTATAACACTCTTGATCCAAAATGGACAGCCATGTATTGCTTTATTATACGAGAGTGCTCAACTATCCATTTATTTTCTTTTGTAGTAATTGTGAACTTGAAATCCTGTATTATACTACCTGTATTATACTATTATCAGACTTTATGCTTTTGATTAGGGATCAATAAATGTCTGTTAATAGATAAAGCAGTAAGGTATGCTTGCAAAAACAAGAAAACTGTCTAAAGTTATATGATGCCACTACAAGTGTGATATCAAGAATTCCTTATTTTCATCTGAAATATTTGGTTTTGATTAATTGGAGTTCTGACTCTTTCAGGTTAATTCTAAGGTAGCAACTGCAGGTATGCAGCTCATTGCATGAAGCATATAGCGATGACAATTATGACTTCAAATGCAACAAATCGCTTTTCTTTATCTTCTTGTTCAGGCAAAACAAAATGTGAGCTTCACAAGTGTTTACAAATATATAGTACGGAGTAATAATATTGAGCTTTGTAGCTTTTTGGCTTGTTATTTTACACATTTTTAGATCCATTTTTTTATATCGAGAATTTTCTTAGTAGGCCCGAAATTCTATACTTTGTAAATTATCTTCTAATTATGTGCTTGATATAGCTTGATTTAATTCTTGTCAAACTGGGCATTTAATATGTTCTTGGATACATGTATAATCTAAGAATATGATCAATTTGTTTTGTTCTGGATAATTTGGAGTGGAAGTTGTTGCATTTCAAATTGTTAGCTGGTTGTACATTAAGCTTCTGTTTTTTCCTCACTAACTGCACAATAAGCTTTTAAAGGTGAAAACATCCTATTTTCTGGGTTATTAAAGAGGAGTATTGTAAGATGGGTAATTTTTAAACGCATCACTTTTACTTATATTGCCCTAAATTACACTAGCCTCTTTCCTCAATAGGTAGAGCATTATGCAAATTTGCGCTTCAATTCCATGATTTTATTTGTCAAACTACTTTATATGCTTTGGATGTAGGAAGTAGTCCAATCAATTTCTTAATGTGTTTCACTTTGGAGATTGTATGCATATGATATCATGATACATATTTACATCGACACCTGTACTTTTGATATTTTAGAGAGAGAGACTTTTTAGGTGAAATTAAGGAGATGAAAATAAGTTTAAGAAACTTTCAAAACTACTCAAAATTATAAACATAAATAAAAGAAAATGAAAGTTGCAGGGATAGAGAAACAGAGTGACCAAGAAAGAGGGAATAGAAATCGACAATTAGAGTTGGACAAACTTCAAATCTTTCACTAAATGATATTCATTAACAAATGCGGTTTTGTGATGATTATGAAAATGTTAAGTAATTTGTGACACTTTTAGAATAAAACATTTAACCTTATAGTAGAATTATGTTGGATTCACAAGTAAATTGTTTTTAAATGTTTATATAATCATATTAATAGATAGCTTTTAAGAGATAAAATGAAAGAAGGATGGAGGGAGGAGAAGAGATGAAGAGAAAGAGGGAGTGGGAGGAGGAGAAGAGAGAAAAGAAAAAAGGGAGAGAGTAGGAGGAGGAGTGAGAGAGATAGGAAAAAGTGAAGGAGTGGGAGAAAGAGAAAGAAGGGGGGGGGGGAGTCGAACGAGAGAAAGGTGTGAGAAAGAGATATAGAAGGGTCGGCATAGAGAAAGAGAGAGAGAGAGAGGATGGGAGAAAAAGAAAGATAAGGGCCGGAAGAGAAAGAAATAGAGCAATTAAGAGAAAGAGGGGCAAGGAGAGAGAGATAGAGTGATAAAGAGATAGATGAGTCGGGAAAGAGGGAAGAGTCAGGATAGAATAAGAGAGAGATGGAGGCTTACTTAACCGTTCAAATCATACAAGAAGATAAAATAGGTTGGAGGAAAAAAAAAGGAGCAAATGGTGAAAGAAAGCAAGAATGAATAGAAAAGGGAATTGAGATATGACGAGGAAGAAATATAACAGACAGGGTACATATGAAGGAAGAAGGGATAGGAAGAACTTAAAATCAAGTTAGTGACTACCACACAAATAAGATCCCCTAATCATCGTGTTAATATATAACACCCCAAACTACAAAATACGATCAACATTCCACAAATCTTACATATCATACCGTGGGGTGGGGGGGGGGGGGTGGGACAAGCGCGTAGTGTGTGCTCTAACGACTATAATCTTAAATATAAAAGTGTAAAGCTATTCCCTCCAACTGTATTTTTTATATAAAAAAAATCATACATAAAATAATTTATAGATAAATGACCAGCAAATAAACTTTAATACATACACAAATGATATTTCTCATTCATTTTATACCTTCCGCATCGATTAAAAAATCTAACTAATATAATTTTTCGATAGAAAAACCACTCGAAAATTTTCTACTTTAAAAAGTCTAACAAACTAATATACCATTAGTATTGCATTTTTTTTATTAATACTCTTTATCACAATCATTTTAAAATGAAGCTATTCGAAAATAATATCTAAAACAACAGTATATTTTTTTAAAAATCTTTGAATTATAACAAATTCTAGATAACTTCACTTATAATAATTGTTTTTTCGTAGATATTTCCCCATAGAAAATTCATGTATCCTTATTATTACAAAACCCGAACACCACCACGAATTTTACTTATCTTGCCGTCGGGGGGGGCACGCGCAACGCGCGAGCTCCAACGACTAGTGAAGACAAATATTACATTTATATTTATATATTTACCTGTATAAATCAATTTGACATTATCACATGGACATATAAACGAAATGTATGATTTTTCAAGTTTTATTAGATTAATACTCCGTAATTTAACTATGGTACAAAAATTTATTGGGATGAAAAGAGAAAATCACAGTTTACTTACAGAAGGAAGGCGTGCACAATTAGAATTTTGATTACAGTCAGCATATTTCCACATTTGTGCACCTTGGCCGTCAATAGTACCCCCACCAAAAATCACTAAACCATTAATACGCTCAAAGATCAGCCATTCAGGTTCTGGGTACATTGAAATATCAGGTATTGCCTTCACATTTCCTGTAATTTGCACAACTATAGGGCCAGGACCTTTACATGGTCCTGCAAATACTGCTTGTGAAACAACAAATTGTCCTCGAGGAATTAAGAATCTTGCCTTACCAGGATGATCACATGCTGCCCTAAATGCTCCCATGAAGGCCTGTGATAATGACTTCATTATATATAGAAGGTTTTGTCTATTCTATTTCTCAAGATATAAGTCCATATCGAGACATTTTATAGTATTTCTACCAATTGGGAAGGTGAACTACTAGATTTTTTGCAGAAAAAAAAGCAAAAATAACACATAAGTTTTACTATAAATATTGTATGACATCAAGAAGGCTTTTTTAAACAAGAGAGTGAATTGTGTTCCTAATAAGCTCATATATTGGACAAAATGAAATTCTTAGAATTATTGTATTTGAAAATAATTTATAAGTACTTGCATTTTATACATCTTAAAAGTAAAAAAAAAAATACAATAAAATTAATTTGTCATTATCTGCAGAAAATTCTAAAAATTCTAAGAAACTAATCTAAGATAATAATTTTATATATTTATATAAGCATTTTCTTATATAGTATAAACTACAATGCACTACAAATTTCTCTATGATTTTACAAATTCCTAGATAATAAGTGAATTGGAGATTTTAGTTTAATGTGATTTTAATACATGGAATAAGATCATAGTATGCATAAATAAGAATCAATATTACACAATCATTTTCCCATAGAATAAGAAAATTAATTACATATGCTTATGGCAACTTTATAATTTCAAATAATTTTAATCTCAATATTTGAACTTTCATAGTTTGCTATTTATAAATTATTAACATTTTAGTTGATCTTCAACATTTTTTAATTTTTTTTTCGTAATCCATGTATAATGATCCACCGAAAAATATAAATTTACCTCTACATCATCTGTTTCTCCATCACCCGTGGCATCATAATCTGCTAAATTAAAAGTTTTTTCATCAGGCGCTGGAATAACGCTTATACCATCCCCATCCTTCACACCACCTCCTCCCTTGGCCTCCGCTATGACAATGAATATACCTAAAAGAGCCACGAAGAAGACTATCTTCGTGTAACAACCATCTTTGTCCATGGGCAATCTTTATAGTTCCAATAATATTATTGTTAATGCGAAGAGCCTTGGTTAGAGGGGTTTTTATTTAAATAAAATTTTAAAAAGTTATTATATATTTATTTTATTAATTTTTTATTCAAGATGGAGGTACTGCCTCCTTGCAGAGGCTAGTATTAATTTGATGGGATTTGAAGATATTTTCCTTACACTCCTTCCTTTCTATAAACCATTGTCCTTGAAACCAAAATCCATAATTTATTTCCATTAATTTCATTTGTGGAAGCTATCCCCTAAGTGTACGCATACCAAAAAAATTGGTTGATGGGTAGGTATAAGCCTATATTTAGTGGGTGTTTATTTAAATGTTCATCTTTTTCCTGTACTGTAATTTCCTAATATTTCGAAGTTTCAACTTATAGCTACAATATAGGGGTGCACGCGTTGTCTATTTTATTGCCTATAAATTTGTTTTAGAGTGTATCAATTAAGTTGTAACATTCCCATGTTGATGACAACCATTCATATGTATATTTGTTTTCGACTATTATTCTACTTTATGACATTCAATTTATATTTTTTGCAGTACGATAATGCTTATCACGTAGAATTTTAACTTTAAATGTATTTATTATATAGGTATACATTAAAAGAAGTTTAATTTTAACTTTAAATATATTTTATTATATATGTATACATGAATAGAAGTTTAATTTTTGAAATAACATCTTACATGAACATATTTTTACTCACATATATAAATCACTATAGATGGTTAAAATATGTGAATGAATAATAAGTTTTCATTTTTTTATGTGATTAAATACTACTTATTTTCTTTGTTAATATTAATTATATTGTCAATCATTTATTCTGGCCAATGAAAAATAAAGTTTTCAATTTATTTTTTATTTACGCATTGAGGATCCAAGGAATGATTTCTCCTAGTCTAGAGTTTTTGAAGCTTTTCTTTTTAATGTTAAGGATTCATAACAATTTAATGATCGGCTTTGATTTAAGTTTAAATAAATTATGCATTAAGTAATCCAGATAACTTACAGAATTTAAGGACTTCAAAAATAAGTATGGTAATTTATCTCTTTTATGGTTCCCAATCCTATCCATTAACACCATCATACACCTTCATGTGCAGCATTAGATAGCTTCCTGAGTAATTTTCTTCTTTTTCTTTTTGGAATGGAAGTTCAATTATTCTCAGCTTGTAGGACAACATATCATTTTCCTTTGGATGCTTTCTTTTTTTAAACAACTTTTGCATTTGTATGATCTGCAATAGAATGAATATTAATGTAATATGATACATTGAAAAATGAATCTAAAGACACTTTGTTAATCTATTGATGCAATACCGTTTCTAAGATAAAACACTGTAGAGGCTCATATTCTTCATTAGTCTCGTATAAAGTGCTGTCTAAATGATCAATTGTTTCATCTTTGAAGTTTAGACAGCAAGAAAATTATGATCTTCCTTCTTCGGAGGTATAAGTGCTTGCACATAATTTTTTTTTACACATATTTACTTTAAAGTTGTAGGGAATATATCAAGCACTAACCCCAAGCTTGAACCCCACTGTGATCATACACTTACGTTTGTAGGCGTCCAAAGGGAAAGAAACAAGAGCAAAAGAGTCGCCAACAAGTTTTAGGAACTTGTAAACCGTTCACAGGGTGAAGGTTACACCCCTTAACGATCCATGAGATCGTCAACTCTAAAATGTCTAGAACTAAATAAGGTTCGGGGATGAGGGTACGAATCCAATCTACAAAAGAGAGAACCCGCCCTATAAAATAGGCCTTTACTTTATTCTACTCGTATTCATGTGCGCTTTTTGACTAACATGCAAACATTATATTAGCCCTAAACCTGTTTATCTATGTTGGTTGAATATTAATGCACAAATAAAACTATTATTGGCAATCACTTGAATTAAAATCATATTATCCTAAACCAAATTATTGATTATCTTATTAAGCGTGATTCAAAGTACAAATTCCCTTTAGACATGCATGCATAAAAGGCGTGATCAAGCAATAACAATAATAAATATCAAGCAACATAATATTTAATAATCATAATCATAACAATCATAATAATAATAATGATAATAATAATCATGTTAATAATAAAGCATAAATACAATAGCAAGATCCTAGGCATGATACTAACAAGATTAATAACAAATCCTAACATGTCACTATACATCAAAGATCAAAGCTTTAACCCTAACATGATACTAACATGATATTAGAAATAATAAGAGGCACCCTAAATATGATACTAGAAAGCAATAATAACATCCTAACATGATACTAGGAAGCAATAATAACATCCTAACATGATATTATGAAGTAATAATAACATCCTAACATGATACTAGGAATTTATCAAATCTAAACATGCTTTCTACATTGAAATAAAATAGGGAGTAAGCTAATTACTTACTTTGAAGTCTCGTACCTCTTTCTAATAACAAAATACACGCGTTAGTAAACTTCAATGAAAATAATAAAATCAAAGAATTAAATTAAAGAATTGAAAGAAAGAGTTAAAAAGTTTAGATTGGATTTAGGACCAAACCCTTAGAAAAGTATAAACCTTTCACGTATGGGGCGAAGACAACTTCGAACTTGGCTAGGTGTTTCTAGATCTTGTGAATGCGGTATTGTGTTTGTGAAAAGCTAGTTTAGAAAGAGAGAGAAAGAAAGCATGTATTGCTCAAGACAGAAGAGAAGAATTCTTAATGAGAATTGGTTTATTGAAAACGGAGGTCCAGGGACCCTATTTATAGGAAAATAGTCCGGAAAAAAGGTAGAATTTGATAAGGAATAAAACTCCACACTGTCGCCAGAACTCTAACTTGTCGCGTGGCGACAAGCCTGTCGTTTGGCGATAGCTTGGATTTACACGCGCTTTCAACACGAAGTCCACTTGTCAATCAAAATTAATCCGTGGAGTCCGTACGAAGGCTAAAAACGTAATTTTACATAAAACAATATTTTATTCCAAGTAAAACTAATAAAAACACAATTACCAATCCTAATTCTATTAGGATTTAAGAGAACCTTCTAGAGAATTCTAGAAGGATATAATCAATCCTAATAGCTTTAGGAATGATAATTGACATTAGGCCCTCCTCTAGATTATTGGGCTGCATGTAAGGATCAAACCGGGCCCAGTTTAGTATTTTTGCCATAACTTCCACAATATTCATCAGAATTGGGCTTATAATATATCGTCGGAAAGCTCTTTGCGAGCCCCATCCAACTACACTATTATTGGACCCTTATCAAGAACCAAACTAAATTGTATTGGCTATTTTCATAAAATAGAGTTGGTTTTCGAAAACAGAAAGAAATATTTTAATAAAAAACTAACCGCAATACTTGACCTTTCACACTTTCACTTTATTCGATTATGATTCTATGCAAAAGGCATTCATCACTGGGTTTGGTTTTGGGGAGACACAAATGGGTGTCTACAGATGCCCCCACTTTGATTGAGTTTGGAGAAACGCATGTTTCAAAAACAAAAGTCAAAGTATCGATAGGGACGGAGAATGATTCAGAACGTTCTGCGATCCCAAATCATTCTTGTAATGCTGATACCTGCAAACTAGCGTTAGTTAAACAGATAAAGAGAGTTTAAGAAACGCGTATCTTGCACTGTCGAGCACACGTCTCTAGGTAACCAATTTGTTGCTGCATTTTGTTTTGACGACCTTCCACAAGCTAGAGAACATCATCCCGCCTGAAGACTGTTATGCTTGTAAATGCCTCCAATTTTTGCTGTGATAATCTTCCGCAAGCTAGGGAACACAATCAAAGATTGCTTCGCTTGAAACGATCCTCTTCCGCTTTATGACCATTTTCCTCAAGCCAGGGAACATGATCGAAGATAGCTTCTCTTGAAACTCCCTTCTACCGCTTTATGATCATCCTCCGCAAGTCAGGGAACATGATCGAAGATAACTTCGCTTGAAACTACCTTCTACCGCTTTGTGACCATCTTCTGCAAGCCAGGGAACATGATCAAAGATAACTTCGCTTGAAACCATCTTCAGTTGTTTGTGACAAGTCTCCACAACCTAGGGAACGCTGTCGAAGATAACTCCGCTTGCAGCCATCTTCAGTTTGTTGTGATAATATTCCGAAGAAAATTACCGAAGATCAACGCTTGTCAATCCTTTAAAGTTCACTTGAACTTTGATTCTGCTACGCCAGCACGTCGGCGCGCTTTCGCTGCTTGTAAACCATTATGTCGGTGCTTCTACTATTTATGAACCATTATGTTGGTGCCTTTGCAATGAGCCAATGTTTAGGCGCTTTAAGCTAAGTGAGATGATCTTTTATCAAGTCGATCACTTAAGGTGATTGTAATCAGATCAACTACTAAATCATGTCAATTACTTATATGGGCTAACTGGCGTACCAAGGAACCCAAACTGCTGCACGATGTCCGCATACCCATATTATGAGGCTACGTGACCTGTCGCCGCTCTAGTGCTAGCCAGAAACGTTTGGCGCCGCGCTTTCTGCTTGTCGCAAGGCGACAGGCTTTGTCGCCAAGCGACAGCCTTGTCATTTGGCGACAAGGTCGGGTTTTTTTAATTCGTTCTTCATTTTTCCGCTGCTGCTGCTGTTCATTGCCCGGTTTCACTCCGAACTTTCAAAAATCCGGGAATGTTCTTGCTTGCTTGTTCATTGGAAGTGATAGCTTCCTATACCTTGAAATTCCGTGGTAAACCTTATCCTTTAAGGTTTTACCGAGTCAGAATTAATTTCCGTAGAGATCTTCTATCTTGGGAAATTTGCAATTATGACCGATTGTTGCTTGATTATCGTCAGGCCGATCGTCAATCCAACTGCAATCGGGCCAAACTCTAGTTGATTTTCCAAGTTGCTTGGGTCCTTTTTTTTTTTTTGCTTCAAATCTTTTGTAAAGGTTATTCGTCTTAGTATACCTGCATTTATATTTTGGACTATAGGACTTTGCTCATCTTTTAGTTATCTTAGGGTTGACCTAAGACTTAATGTTGCTTGACTCATTGACTTGACATGACTCAACTCAAAGCGTTTGACACATATGACTTGACATGACTCACAGTGTAAACTTTATTTAATGATGACTCACTACGTGTGACTCGTGTGTGCATTGTGTTGTGATTGTTCCATATGACTCGAAAAATGTAGAAAAGCAAA